TAAAGATAAAGCCACGTCGCGCTAAGATAAAACGATCCAAAGTAATTTCACCCCCATATTAACGTTATCTACCACCAAACTTAAGATTCCTTACACGCGACATCCTAAGAAAACTGATTAAACATCACGAGTAATGGTTTATCCAGCTATATTTTTCGAGGCATAATAAAATTTGACATCCACTCGGAGCAATTTTTCCGCAGACTCGAGAAAATCATAAATTACCTCCCATTCAAAGCATTCTAGATTAATCACGATAGGACCTAAGAAAAAACGTAAATCACCGCTTGACATTGCAACTTAACAATTGTCCTAAACAAAGGAAAAGACACCCTTTTTTGAGGTATAATTAGGGGCCCGCGAGAGAACGCGCGGTCAATCCTCAATGGTACTCGGGCAGTCACTCAGTTCGTGTCAGTATCGGTCAATCCTCAATAGTAGTCGGGCAGTCACTTAGTTCGTGTCAGTGTCGGTCAATCCTCATAGCAGTCAGTCAGTTATTCAGTCCGTAACGTCAGTCTCTTAGTGTCAGCCAGAAGCCAGTAAAGTCAGTGAGAACCAAGTCAGTCAGAAGTCAGTAAAGTCAGTATAATTGTAAACGCGACATACACACATATACATTAGATAAGTTTAGCAATAATTTATACCGCCAGCTTACATATTATTATAATCATTTTTTTCTCTCTTTATCATTGTTTTTTATAATAAATTTATGTTAATTTTAAAATGAACATCTTTGCCCAATAGGACGTATTTATTTAAAACCCCTCGTATCCCGTAGTCCCACTAGCATTCTTAAGTTCGCACGTGGTCCAGTCCTGGGTAAAAAGGATTAAGTTCCTCTCGGGTGTTCGGCTCTGCGCGCATACCTGAGAGATTGAGTCTAAGCGTCCTTCTACACCTTCTCATTTTCCTCCTTATCTCCTTCAATCAAACCTTCCGAGAGCTTAGACGTAACAATACGATCTAATTATATATATACGATTCTATAGACAGATTTTAATTGTTCTCATATTGTTTTCATATATTATATTAATTGTTTTCATATATTATATTAATGTACTTATTATCTCACCGTTTTTATAGAATTTGATTTGATACTATTTTAATTACGATACTTTTGAGAATTTTTTTGCGCACTATGACATTTTGAAACAAGGAATTTATTAATTTGACATCTTATAATACGCGCTATCATTGCTTGGACCCCATATAGCACAGAAAGATTGCAGAAACATTGTAGAATGATTTCACTGAAACATTGCAATATTGCATGGTAGTTGCGAAACGTTGCTGAATCATTCCTACAAGATTTCAACAATGTGAAGATGTCCGCTTTTTGTAATATCGCAACGAAACGTTCCAGCAACATTGCAATGTAATATATTTGGATAAATTTTTTACGGAGACTCCAAAATGAAAAGTATTTTCTATACATATATAAGTTACCCAGATAGCACAGAGAATCCAAAAGAATTCTTTTTTCATTCCCGATTTACGAAATGTTTCTATCCCATTTCTAAAAGTATCCCTAAGGGTATTCCAAAAGAATTCATTTTTATGTCATCAATTGTGAGTTCTTTTTCGGATGCAAAAGGTACCCTTTTTTTAGTCTAAATGAATTCGCAATGAAATCGAAATAACTTTTAGATAGTTATTCTAATGGAGTGCTAAAGCTATTCATTTTATGCTTTCTGGAATCGGAACCTAACCAACACGAAGTCGACTAAAAGTTGACTAGAGAAGTCAATAATCAACTACCCAATGAGAAATGACAATGGAATCGACGTCGATTCGACGTCGAAATCATTAAATTGATGTTGAATCGACATCGATTCGACATCGATTCCATTGTCATTTCTCATTGGGTAATAGTCGACGAAAATATCTCGAAAACAATCGATTATTATTAATCCAGCTAATCGAGCCTTAAAAATTGATAAGTTACCGAATAGTCAACTTCTGAATGGTTAATGTCCTACTTTTTCATTAACTTATTTACGCATCAATGCCTAATAAGAACAAAAAGGTGGAACGTAAAGGTATAACGTAGAATGATCTGACAGAGTAGAAATTCTTTTTGGAGCTCTAACTCGAGTGAGGAGATGGTGGATAGTTCCGCGAAGCCCTATTTCTAGTAAAGCGGGACTAATATTGAATACGGACTAATGCTCCGCCGCGTGGCTCTCACGCGGCGGTAGTTGGAATTTGCACCGAGCGAGCGCCAGGTGAGGAGCCGGGCGAGTGCCAAGCGAGGTGCCGGTCGACTTATAATTGATTAAAACATAGTTGACTAATAGTCGACTGTGCTTAGTTGACTTTCAGTCGATTTTCAGATATCAACTAATAGTCAGGAAATAGTCGACTGCTGTATAAGGGAACTGTTGAAAGTCGACATTAAATCAACTGGGAACAGCCAACCTACAGTCGACTTTTCATAGTAGCGGCAGATCATGACTTGCAGCGGGAATAATTTTGTACAAGTATATTGTGACTAAACCAAAAATGAAATTTTTTCGAACCCGTTACAAACAGGAAATCGTTATATTGATCTGGAAACATTGGCGTAGATACATCATCGATCATATAATTAATATTTCAATAAATCGTTTTCAGTAGCTTAATTGCTTATCGTCTTATCCGATAATGGTGTGTTGTATCCAAATTTGACGTTATACAATCTTTTGATTTTTGATTCATATTTAAAATAAGGATAAAATTTAGCTAATGAAATGATCGTCAAATAATATAATAATAAATTAATTTTTTATTTGAATATAAAAATGAATTAATTAATTATTATATCATAAAAACAATTATTATAAACTGAGAAAAAGACTGTATTATATAAATATTATAAAAAATTATATTTTTATATTACTATTACAATAACAATTAAAGAATTACAGTTTTGCAATGTTTCTGAAATATTACAGGCATATTACTGACATTTTGTAGGCATATTGTTAATTTACATTTCTATAATATCTCTGCAATATTACACTGCAATATTGTAACAATGCAACAATATTGCTGCAATCTTCTGTATTGCATGGGACTTAATTTATAGACAAATATATAACGACATGATACAATTAAGTGACCAGTTTATACCAGAAGTCTGTACTTTTTTATCTTTTTATATATTAGTTGAACCGTTTATAATTTAAATATGTATATTTTTGTGTAACATTGAAGATGACTTGATCGAGTTCGAAACGACTTTGTTATTTAATTTGTTTTAGAGTTCTTAATAATTATTTTATATCTTATATTTATATTTTTACGTGTTGTCTTTTGAGTTCGTAGCCCATCTGAATACGTTTATTTTTAATAATTATTTATATCGTTGGAGATAAGATTGCGTGTTTGTCAGTCCAAAATTTTTGTGGCTGGGTTTCCCATGGAGCGACTTTTTCGGAAAACGAACTGTCATTCTAACCTCAAACCATCTTTTATTATATAATTTAAAAGATTCTTTCATTATTTTCTGTTATAATAAAAAATATATTGAAATTTTATTTTCTTGCGGATTCTTCTACTATATAATAATTATCTTTTTTCATAAAATATTTAAAATAAATTTTCTGATTTTTTACAATTTCGGAAATATTGATCTATACGCTATGCAAGTAACTCCGACAGCGCCGTTTAGTGGTCACTTTCCGAAGCTCTGGGAGTATTAGCAAATCTGAAAATGAATTTAAGTGTGTCAAATGTATTAAAAAAAAATCGATCAAATATCAGATATGTTGTGTAGTTGAGTGTTTTAATAGCGAACGAAAAAATCCTGAGCTACAATTTTATCGATTTCCGGAGCGTTCATGGGAATAGGAGAGAAGAAAAAAATGGATTGTGGCAGTACATCGTCAAACGTAAATATATAAGTACATAATTTTCTACTTTCAGCACCCGGAGTTTCCCTTAAAACTGTCCCTAATATACGACGACAATTATTATCATATATTTCTTCATATACGTCAGAAACATGAAAACTATGAAATAATTTTTGTCCTTTTGATATACTTTTTTTCCGAAAAATATTTAATTTAACCTCTTGAAATCCACTTCTTATTATTACAACCATTGCTAACTATTCAATAATATAATTAAGACAAGAAATCTATTTATAAGTTCACAAAACGATATCTGTCACTCATACGCGCGTTTAATCTCATACTCCTATAAAATAAAAAAACGAGCGAAAGATGGCGTTGGTGTTCCGTCAGAGATACTTGCATAGCGTATGGGGAACTCAGCCACACAAAAATTTCGGACCAACAAGCACGTAATTTTATTCTCCCAACGATATAAATGGTTATACTTATATGCTGGAAAAATGAATACTTATATACATTAATGAATACTTATTGAAAAATTATTTATTAATAATGAATTTTTTTTATACATATAGAAATTCAATTTCGATAATCTTATATTTAACATATATGTGCAGATGAACAGTAATGCATCTCAATAATTCTGATTGATTGATCCCCATTCTACTTTTTCGAGATTTCGTTTTCTGAAATTTCGATTGTCATGGGACAGCATCCTTATTCTCTAATCCTCCCCACGTGTTGAAAACGCAATATACGGAAAATGCTGTGTACGGAACACGCAGTTCACTCACGATATACTAACATTTTTTAATTGCAATACTGATGTACTTTGCATTTTATTATCGATTTCTCTAGGCATCTCATATTAGGAGCACAATTTTTTGACTTTGCGATTTGTTCATTTTTTACATTTCTTTAATTTCAAAAAAAATAGAATTTGAATTAAATTTTACATAACATTATCTTAAAGCTTACTATATTAAATTCCCTTCAAAATGACCTATTATTTTTTTAAATTCTGCCCATAGATTTCTAACATTTACTCAAAATGAACTCGATATCTCTATAATAGGAGCCTTCTCTCTCTCTCTCTCTATATATATATATATTTTTTTTTTCTTATATAGACATCTTAATTACGATTACGATGATATGTACCTGATTGATGGAGAAATCATAGGAGTTCCTCGGCTAACTGGAAATTCGACTGGTGGATATAAATTGGCAACTTGTGGCTGTAAACCGTAATTATAGAGCTTCCCAACTCCTTGTAGAACTATATCAATATTTTTTTCGGTTCGTCGTGTTAATACAATGTTTGTAACGTTTGGATGTAAACAGCCTGTCAAAACGTATTGCATAACATCGTCTGGTGCGATTTCGATGACCACAGCATTACTCGGAATTAGTTCCGTTGTTTGTCGGAAAAAGACTGTGTTTAATATACTTTGTGTGTGATAGTCCGCTGATGATAACTTTGAAGCTGAAGTAAACCATTTGGTGCGAGGTATAGATGTGCTGATCCACTTTGAACTCCGTTTTTTTGGACATGGTATTATTTCATTCAAACTAAGCAGAAGCTGACTTTCCGCGGATGCGATGTAAGAACTATGAAACGGTATATTGCAGTTGATCTTCTTCACGTAAATATTGTTGACCTGATTATAAAAAAATGCAACACATACAGCTGCAGTAAATTGGTATGAAATTAACTTTTCAATGTTTTAAAACCTTAAGCATTTTTTTTATCCACTAACTTATAGTTATATATTATATATTTTTTAATTTACCTGTAATTTTTTTATGAATTCTTGTATTGATTCTTTTGGTCCACATACTACGTTACTATTTTCGCTATTGTAGCATACTATTTCAATATCCGCTGGACATATATTTTTAAGATACTCGTAATTGATATTGACAACCGCCATCGAGCTATGAATTATTTTTCCTTCGGCACATGCCAAACCGATAAAGTATGCTGATAAAATAGTTTGTTCAATTGTGAGACACTTATCTGCGTATGCACAACCAAGTTCACCGGCAGAATGACTAATCATGTAATCGGGAGTAATTCCTAAGGATGTTAGGAGATCTACTAAGCCAATCTACAAATATATATAAAAAATTTTATATGTTATAGGATACTATATACAGGGTGAATCAGAGTAGTTAAACCAGTTTTTTACCCTATGAGAAAATTATCGACCTAATTATCGACTTAGCAATACAGATCAGATGTGTGGATACATAGCGCGAATTTCTGGGCCCACTGAGAAAAAAAGGCACTTTTTTTAATCTCTTCATATACAGGCCCACGTAAAGTGTTACAAGCTAATAACTCTAAAAATATTTGTCCTATCAAAAAGTTGTTCATGTGAAAGTTTTATTTATTCGAGGGGCCTTTCTAACTACGTAAACAAAAATCCACCTCCATATCCCCTTGAAGAGGAGCGGGGAGTAACGTCAAAGTTTTAAATGGGACCCCCTATAAAATGTTACATATTTGGATTCTACGTGGAAAAACAAGTAAACTTTGAAATATTTCTTATGAAAATGCTCCTGTCAAAAGTTATAAACATTTAAACTTTAATGTAGAGTGCATTGAAATTAATGATAAATTAAATAAGATTCATAGTTTATCTATTTTTTTTTATTTTATTAAATGTTCGAACTGTTGACCATTAACATCTAAACACTTATTAATTCTTTTTACAAAACTTTGCCTAACTCTAAACAACATTTCTGGATTCACCTTAGTGCAAACTGTACGTATTGTCCGTTTTAAGTCTTCTTTCGTCGTACATGGTTGAGATGTGATTTCCTCTTTGATATATCCCCATAAAATAGTCCAAAGGTGTAATATCAAATGAACGAAAGGGCCATTGAACAGGACCTCTCCGACTTATCCACCTGTCACGAAATATCATTTAAAAGAGTACGCGTTGCTCTGGAAAAATGAGGAGATGCACCATCTTGTTGAAAGACTATATGTCTCTTCTCACATTAAGTGATAATTCTTCTATAAGTAAGGGAAGATGATTCCTTAATAGATTACAATAGGATTCAGTATTAACAGTACCATCAAAAAAGTATGGTCCAAATACGAAATCACCAATTATTCCACATCGTATATTTAATGAACAACGATGTTGGAAATGATCCTCGCGAATCCAATGAGGATTCTCATATGACCAATAGTGCATACTATGTCTATTAAGGTGTCCAGTATTGGTAAATGTTGCTTCATCAGAAAAAAGAATATTTTGCAAAAATGAATCATTTAACATGGCATCTCGCATCCACTCGCAAAATATTACACGATATTCATAACCAGTTTTCAAAAGTTCCTGAGTCAAAATCAAACGATACGGATGAAATTTTTGTTTTTTCAAAATCTGCTGTATAAATCCAACTCTAGACGTGTTTGCTAATTCGCGTTGACTGACATGTGGATTTACTTCAATTGCAGCGAGAATATTAGCACAGTTATCATCATTAACTACTGGATTTGTTTTTTGTTTTTTAATTGCACTTAATTGACCATATACACGCAAACGATTTTTTAATATTATGACGTTCTAAAAATAATTGCGATGCACGTCGATAATTTTTCTTATATTCTTCCAGAATTAACAACACATTAACTTCCATGTCAAAATGAGCCATGATTTTTGAACTTGATAGCATGAAAACCAGCTCAAAACTAACTAAATACATAGTAGATCTGTATTTACGTTTACCGATAATTGTGTGTATTTATGTTTCTTTTAGTTAACATCAAGATCTCGTTTTCGTTTTCATTGTATCGTGAACACAACTTTGTGTTAATGAAGTTCAATCATGAATAAAATGGCTAAAAGTTTAAATGTTCATAATTTTTGATAGGAGCATTTTCCAAAGAAATGTTTCAGTTTACTTGTTTTTCCCCGTAGATCCAAATATGTAACATTTTAGGGGGTCCCATTTGAAACTTTGAAGTTACCCCCAGCCCCTCTTCAAGGGGAGACGGAGGTGGATTTTTGTTTACGTAGTTAGAAAGGCCCCGAATATATGAAACTTTCTCATGAACAACTTTTTGATACGACAAATATTTTTAGAGTTATTAGCTTGTAACAATTTACGTGGGCCACCCTGTATAAAAATAAAATCTTGTAACAATTTTCACAACTCAACGTGTCTGTTTTCGCGCTCAGACCAGCAGTTCGCACGATGTTATCCACGCATCCGATATCGTCAAATCAATAATTAGATGTATAATCGATAATTTTCTCATAATAACTGGGTAAAAAAACTGCTTCAATTACTCTGATTCACCCTATATACACAGAGTGTCCCACGTAACTGTGATCATGATTTTTCCGCCATTTCCGATAATTTGACAAAAACTATTTTGAATAGAAGTTAATCAGTTTTTAATCAACTACAAATTGCAATATTAAAAATTTGCAAAATATTCTTTTTTAGAAAAAAAGTCAAGGTCACCCTAATTTTTTTAAATGGCACTATGTATTTTTTACTTCATGTAATATTGTAACTGATGTCAAAACGAGTTCAATGACCTGCTATACTATGACCTTGAGATGATCTTAAAGTCAGACGTGTGGGATCAATGAACGGAAACGTTTTCGTGAAAATTTATTTTATATTAAACTTTACATGTTTTTCATTAGAAGTAGTAAAAATTCAGTTCAGTAGAAAAAATGTACCTGTAGACAAATGAGGAATTGACGTAGCCATTTCTGAATTAGTATCCCCGAATGTAGTTCACAATTTATTACAAACATGTATATATATATATATATATATAGTACCTGTGTACGTAAAAAAAATGTCAACATAATTTGTAGTACTTGTAGCGTAGCTCAAACGCTGTTACTACAGTTCTGGTGTTAATTCAGTTTTAGCTTGTCATTAGAGCAAATTGTAGTTCATTCTCAGTTTGTCAAAAATGTATTCCTATAATGAGAAAATTGATATGCTGTTAATACAAAAATCTCTTTCTCTGTTTAATATGTCCATATAAATTTTAATACAAATAAAATAATTTTTTAAGAAAACGTTTTCATTCATTGATCCTACACGTCTGACTTTAAGGTCATCTCAAGGTCATAGTATAGCAGGTCATTGAACTCGTCTTGACATCAGTTACAATATTGTGAAATAAAAAATTCGTAGTGCCATTTAAAAAAATTAGGGTGACCTTAACTTTTTCCTAAAAAAGAACATTTTGCAAATTTTTAATATTACAATTTGTAGCCGATTGAAAACTGATTAACTTTTATTCAAAATTATTTTTGTCAGATCGGAAGTGCCGAAAAAATCATGATCACAGTTACGTGGGATATCCTGTATACATATACAGGGTGTCTCAGACCACCCGTACCACCCTTTTAAAAGGTAGGGATGTGTTTGTACAAAAAAATGGTTCAGACAAAATTTGCAGGATTTCGGGAGATCTATCTGATGGTGACCTTGAATTTGACCTTGAGGTCGACCTTGGGCATAACTCAAGGTCAAAGTACCGTTTTACAAATGTAAACCCTTATTCATGACTTCAGAAATGAAAAGAGCGGAAAATTTTACGTCCGAATACGTTATCAAGTCTAGGTCAAAATTACCCTTAGAGGTCATGTGGAGGTCAAGTTACTTTTAGAGCACCCGATCCACCCTTCTAAAAGATATGGATGTGTTTGTACAAAAAATAGTTCAAACAATACTAGGTATTTACATAGCTATGATGCATCCATCTGCTGGTGAATTTGAATTCTACCTTTAGATTCATTTGTAGTCGTGTACATCGATTTTTAAAGATTCCTAATTATCAAGATCTTGAACAGTCGATGCCGCCTGTGTCAGCTTTACCCAAGATGTACCACGTGGAGGTCACAAGGTCGGACTTACACCTCGTCGGGGTGCTTTTTTAAGGTGGTTCCCCTTGCCGTCACCTGCATCTCGTAGGGGTGCTTTTTTAAGGTGGTTCCCCTTGCCTTGAAGAATAAAAGACCTCGTATACCGCGAACGACCTACGACTTCAGAAGACATGAAGAACAGAATTCGAGAAGCCATTCAGTCTCTAGATCCTGTCGAAATTCGTCGGGCGACGGATGATTTTCAACGAAGAATAACAGCCTGCATACATGCACGTGGAGGACACTTCGAAAATCTAGACTGAACACATGCGTACGAACAAAGGTGACGGCAAGGGGAACCACCTTAAAAAAGCACCCCTACGAGATACAGGTGAAGGCAAGGGGAACCACCTTAAAAAAGCACCCCTACGAGATACAGGTGACGGCAAGGGGAACCACCTTAAAAAAGCACCCCGACGAGGTGTAAGTCCGACCTTGTGACCTCCACGTGGTACATCTTGGGTAAAGCTGACACAGACGGCATCGACTGTTCAAGATCTTGATAATTAGGAATCTTTAAAAATCGATGTACACGACTACAAATGAATCTAAAGGTAGAATTCAAATTCACCAGCAGATGGATGCATCATAGCTATGTAAATACCTAGTATTGTTTGAACTATTTTTTGTACAAACACATCCATATCTTTTAGAAGGGTGGATCGGGTGCTCTAAAAGTAACTTGACCTCCACATGACCTCTAAGGGTAATTTTGACCTAGACTTGATAACGTATTCGGACGTAAAATTTTCCGCTCTTTTCATTTCTGAAGTCATGAATAAGGGTTTACATTTGTAAAACGGTACTTTGACCTTGAGTTATGCCCAAGGTCGACCTCAAGGTCAAATTCAAGGTCACCATCAGATAGATCTCCCGAAATCCTGCAAATTTTGTCTGAACCATTTTTTTGTACAAACACATCCCTACCTTTTAAAAGGGTGGTACGGGTGGTCTGAGACACCCTGTATATAATATCTATTACTGATATAATAATAAAATGTGATAAAAAACATATTCGGTTTCACTTTAGTTTTTATGGAGAATAACAATATTATGAAGCGTATGTGTTCTATTTATAAACATAATATTATTAATACTTATACAGGGTGTCCCAGAATAACCGCCAAATATTTCGTGCACTGGTAGAGCGAACTAAACAAAATTGAAAAGTCCTCTGCCATTTTGCAATTTTCGTAATAGTTAATAAGATATTAATTACTAAAAATCGCCGAATATATTGGTTTTCAATAATTTTTTATTCAAGTACTATCAACTTTGGAATTCTTTATTTTTTATTAGTTCATTTTTTAATAGATATTTAATACTACTCAACTACAGGCGAGTAGACCAGATAGTTCAGAATCTCGCTGATTCGTCAGTCTGCTTCACGGATTCTGAGGGAGGCAAAAATTCGATTTCAAGAGTTAAACATTTATACTTAGCGACTTACAACATACGCACAATGAGGCTCGAGAAACACCAAAAAAATCTAGAAAAAGTTAGAAAACATTAAATGGAACGTCCTAGGAATCAGTGAAACGCGAATGAAAGGGCAGGTGCTCTGACGCTCAGGTCGAGATACTTGTTGTTCCAGAGAAATTCAGATACAGCGCGCCTGGGTGGCGTACGTGGCACCATGGGCGCTCACGGGAGGGGGACAGGTAAGGGGGGCCATTTGCCTTCCCTGATCGAGAAACGCGTGTTGAATAAAAGTACGTGTTGGAAGGGTTAAAATTTAAAAATACAAAAATATAAAAATACAAAAATACTGGTGAAAAAATTTCACTGAAATTATTCTATGTTTTGGAACATTTCAGCGAAATTGCTAAAACTTTGCTAAAAATGAATTTTTTAACTAAAAATCGCTTATTTTAGAAATTAAACTGAAATTTTTCTAAAATGCTGAAAAATGTTCTAAAACGTGAAATAATTTCAGTAAAATTTTTTCATCAGGGTACAAAAAAATAAAAAATAAAAAATTCCAAAAAACTAAATACCTTCCTCGACATAGACCAATTTGTCGTGGTGAGAAAGACTTTAACTAAAAAGTAAAAGGTGTGCACATTAGAAATGAATAAGTATCGAAAAAAAGTCATTAACTCGACACTTGTACTGTAGGAACTTCCTTCACCAAAGAAGGAAATATTTGAACATTTTTTTCCTTATGTGTGGCAAAATTGCCCTCCCCCTTAGAAAAAATCCTGTGGACGCCTATGCGTGGCACACTTTCGATTCACAGAAAAGTGAAACATCAAATCATTAAGAAGGCTATATCCGATCGCGTCATTTATGTAATGTTGAGATTAAACAAAAGATACAGTTTGCAGGTCATCCAAGCGTATGTTCCCACAAACTCTTCCCAAGATGAGGACGTCAATCTGTTGTGTGAATATGTAGTGAGAGGCATGCGCAGAGAGGCTAGATAGATGGCCACATGCGAGGCACGACATACCGGCCCATGTTTACGTACAAGAGTCAATAATCCTATCCTTAATTAGCGATATTGGCCCTGGGCCCCTATTCTGTAACTGTTTTACACGCCTACCGACAGTTGTCGATGTCGTTGCGCAGCATTTTTATCATATAAAATATCTGCGCAGCTACACTGACAACTGTCGGTAAGCGTATAAAACAGTTACAGAATAGGGGCCCTGGTACTCTATTCTGTAACTCGTTGATAGGAATGACACCATTGCGCAGCTTTTTATATCATAAAATATCTGCGCAACGATGTCGTTTTTGTCTTAACGAGTTACAGAATAGAGTACCTGCCGAGCTATCTCGATACATGGAAGTGGGATCCCGTGAACGATAGTATATATACTATAACTACTTACGAGAAGAGACTCAAGAAAAACAAAACATCGTTACAAGATAACCTCAAAACATGGCTTCCGCGGTGAATTGGTTACGCAAAGATACTCCCCAACGCGCCTAGCGGTCGTAAGTGGAACTGGCGTAAATCAGACAGCGCAAATACTTTATATGTAATAGCCTATCAAAATTAGTAAATAATGGGTCGCAAACATGTGAAGAAACGTGTTACTACTTTTTGTTCTTCTTCTTCTTGTGAACTAATGGCTCCCGCAGGCGGACGCCCGCGATACGACCAGTATCCAATGTAGCGACGCGTAAAAACGTAAATTTGAGTATAGTAGCAAAAAGTGATGCAATGCCCGCGAAAATGGCGTTGCCCGAACGAACATCGGGCTGCGTCTACAACGTCGTTACGTCGAAATAACGCGCGTCCGGACGAACACACGAAACGAGCCAATCCGCGGACATACATCAGGAGGAAGCAATTGCGCAGTCAAAGTCGGCAACACTTTCAAAAATATTTGATTGTTAGCACTCGATCCGAAACGCGTCCGCCGCGGTCGAGTGGTTCTTCAGAACTCACTACTTTTTGTTGTGTGGCATGATGGTTCTGTTCATGTACAGGGTGTTACGGATACATACTTGGCAGTATGATGGGTTGCATAGCGGACTTTGCAGGAGCATGGCGCTGTTCAGTGGTAACGACTGCGCGGCATAGGTAATGACGGTGCCTTTATACCAACAATATCAGGAGCGTTCCAATTATGACCGACTTGAATAGTAACCATTGTGATCATTATAAGAGGAGCCGAAACGATAATTAAAGATGAAAAATTGAGTTTTTTAACAAGTTATGCGGCAAAACATTTTTCATATAAGAACGTCATATATAAATATATATAAACATATATAATTATATACGAAATATTTCCGTATGTTCTTCTTTCTTTTGTAAAATTACTGTTCGATACGAGACAACTAATAATAACAATGAGAAAATATAAATAGATAATTAAAAGGACAATTTTCGCATTGTTTCTTTTACAAAAAGGCAAGTTTGAAAAAATAAGAAAGAATTACTCAGATATATAATTATATCTAAAACATTCTATAGTTATATATGAGCAATTTTTTCTCATTTCTTCAAACTAGACTTTTCGTAAGAGGAACAATGTGAAAATTATCCTTTTCATTATTTTTTATGTTTTTTCATTATTACTATTTTTCTTGTACCAAACAGTAATTTTACAAAAGAAAGAAGAACATACGGAAATATTTCGTATATAATTATATATGTTTATATATATTTATATATGACGTTCTTATATGAAAAATGTTTTATCGCATAACTGTTAAAAAACTCAATTTTTCATCTTTAATTATCGTTTCGGCTCCTCTTATATGATCACAACGATTACTATTCAAGTCCGTTATAATTGGAACGTTCCTAATATTGTTCCTAATATGTTGGTATAAAAGCACCGTCATTACCTATGCCGCGCAGTCGTTACCACTGAACAGCGCCATGCCCCTGCAAAGTCCGCTATACAACCCGTCATACTGCCAAGTACGTATCCGTAACACCGTGTACATATACATATACAAGAAAATAATGGGTTCTTTACCTGAATGGCGACGATTCCAAGAAGAACGTTCAACCTGCTTTCTTCTATTTGTGTCATAATGTTTATGACACTTATACCATACGGCTTTAAAATATCATCGCATTTTCTTATCGCTTTTGCAAAAACATGAAACTTTAATAAGTTTCGACCTAATAAGATTTTAGTTCATAAATTCTATCATTTTGTTATTTAAGTGATACGTGATTTATTAATATAATATGAAGTATTAAGTATATACCCATTCCTGACCATTGCGAACCTAAGGCTGAAAATATAAACCACACAGGTTTTTTCACGCTCTCACAATTTCGAATTTCCTTTACGGGATCTTGTTGCAAGGTATTCTGCAGTATAGTGTATCCTCTCCATGGATGACCGTTTATATTATCTGCATGGATATCATGTAATAAACGAACATACTCTACATCTATTGGATGGTTTGCAATCTGTAATAATAAAATTTTTTTAATTAAAATTAGACATAATATCTCTAATTGTCCAAAATAATATCGAAATATTTTTTTTTTAATCTAAACTAACATCATTTAAAAACAACTTCACTGATTCTTCAGTACGTCCAGATAATATGACAAGTCTAGGTAAGCCATCATTTGGTGCTCCATTATTAATTTTCTGCTTGGGATTCCACTTTAATAACATATGAGCGTTCGATCCTCCAAAACCGTAACAACTGATTCCTACATAACCGTTTTTGATTGGCATTCGTTCTTGGATGACACAAATGCTTCCATTTAATAAGGCATCTATATCTTTCCTTGGCGATGTATAATTGATATTTGGTGGTACAAAGCCGGTTTCGAATGCTATTATTACCTAATAGTTATAATAACAGTTTTGAAGTGTAAATTTGAATTAATATGTAAAATGTCGACTAATCATACATTATGTACAGTTTGATAAGTCAGTGACTTTTAAAAGGAGACTATGTTGAAAAATAAATCAAATTTTGGTAAAGTCAGTAATATAGAAGAATTACTAATTTATCAAACTATCTACGTATGTTTTATTATATTAATTCAGGGAATGTCGAATGTAATAAAAAGTTTTTAGAAGTAATCTTCTAAAAAGGTTTTGTGTTCGAGTGCCTTATTGTGTAACTTGTCGAACAATTTTTTAAACCAAATCTTCGTGTACATATGATATATAGAGTGTTTGATCTTTAATAAACAATAACTCGTTAACTGTTCCTAAAGTTGCAAATTGATGCAAAACTTTTTGACTTGGTTTAAGGGGATGCTGGAGCCATCTGTATTACCGATAAAACCGTTCCAAATTCGATAGTAGTGACATCTTCCTCATTCATTTCTTATATATATCGTTGTGTCTCGCTCAAACGCATTCATCTGTCCTTATCTAACATATTGCAACGCCATCTCTTAGAAGATCGAACACTTACTACTAGACACAATTATTGCTTTGTTTACCATTCCGAGTCTTCGCTCAGCGTTCGTATATACGTCATTTGCAGATCGATATAAATATTTCTTTTGAAGCTTTTAATCTTAGTTTCATTGACTCATTGTTGTTTGTGCACATAATGCGCTGAGTGTTGCACTATCGTTTGGTTCGTAAGAGCTATAAAACTTTTGTATTAAAGAAACATCTACGTCAAGTGACAGCTCCACGCGAGTTGAAAAAATGTAACTTTTTCCCGATTTTAATATAAAGTCTATCGCAGCACTCCCAAATTTTGCGTCTATTTTAATCCTGTAAAAAGATTTTTGATTCCGTTCAGTAAATTTATATCGCAGATTTATATCAATCTGCAAAATACCGACAATTTGGCCACTCCAGCATCCCCTTAATTCGTTCTACCAGCATACGAGCATTTATCAGTAATTATCAGACACCTAACTATATATATGCGTAATTGTGCATAAAATAAAAATAAACTTTATGATAATAGACAAAACCAGAAACCATTTATTTTACCTTAGCGATCTGATTAAAACCACTCGCAGGCTCAGAATGCCCGAGATTAGATTTCACGGAGCCGATCATTAATGGAGTTTCTCTATTTTTACACAAAACATTATAGACAGCATTAATTTCTTGAGGATCGCCAGCTATGGTAGCGGTACCATGTGTTTCGACATAATCTAAACAAGATGTTGGTATTTTGTACTCTTCGTAAAATTCCTTTAGTAAGTTATATTGCATTTTTGATGAAGGATATGTTATTCCTTCTTCTTTGTAACCATCGTTATTTAGTTTAATATACGGTAATATGGCATAAATCCTCTTAGCATTTTTCTCTTTTTGAAGGTATATCACTGCCACTGTTTCACTACGCGCATAACCGTTAGCAGCGCTATCAAATGGTCTGCAATAACCGTTGGGTGACAAAACACCTAAGAAGTACAATACGTATAGTAAGCATATTTAATCGTGTGTATAATGTATTATATTTAAATCAAAATGATCATTTTCATGGTATCTTTTGATATATTTTTCAGTTTTTCAAATATCTTGTTAGAAATGTTTTTATCGAAATTATACAATTGATTGTAATTTATTTATTTTTTGTAAATGATGAAGGTTATTTGAGTGATTCTTTAAATGTCGTGCCTATTACTTATATAAAAATATAAAGTATAATTATTTATAATACCAAGTCGAGCAAATTGCAGATTTAACTGGGAATAAAGACATAATTGTGTTGTTCCAATTATTGCGTCTTCGCATTTTCCTGACATGATATAACTATAGCCAGTGGCTATAGCATACAAACTAGAACTGCACGCTGTATCGATGACATGAGACGGTCCTTTTAGATCCAAGTAATGTGAAATCATATTTGCCAATACAGATTTATGGCATCCAGCAACATTCAAACTTTCTAACTAATTACAAAACATTTGCTATTGCAATTTCCGCACATGAATAATAGATTCAGTAGATTCAATCACCTCTTTTTTACTACATAACGTTTTTATATATAATATATATATAACATAATATGTTACATATAAAAATAGTAGAACAAGATGACTGAATCTATTATTACATGATATATGCCATATATTATGTATATTTTATAATATTATATATTATTTTCAAAGGAGTTACGATTTAGGTAATCGGTTGTCTAAATCGTATCTATGTAAATATATTTTACACAGGGGGTTGGTCACGGTGGTAATAGGGCTTTTCTTTTTGATTGAACTTTTGCATCGGTCCATCTTTCTTCTTCTTCTTCTTTCCTCCTGAAGAGAAAAGGAAGAAGGACGAACTGGTGCAAAAATTCAGCGAAAAAGAACAGATCTAATTTTTATACAAGGTAATTCAACGGCAATCTAATCGAAATTTTCGGTCCAATCCAAGGTAATTTTTAATAAATCTAAATAATCTTAAGTAATCTAATAGGAAATCCTAAGTAATCTAAGGATAATATATATATCAAATAATCTATATTATATATCTAATATAATTCTAAGTATTTCTAAAGTAGTCTCAAATAATTTGAGGTAATCTAAAGTAATTTTCGACTTTTGAAGTTAGTGAACGTCATTGACGAGCATTTTGTACCTTTTTACGATATGTATATAGTCAATCGATTTTTGACGTAAAAAAATGAGTTTGTAAAAAATTACTTTTTTATAATCTAGGAATCATTAGATTTTCGCGGTATCACATCTTGTAATGTTTCCTCTCTCAGGCTGCGAGCGTTTAAAAATTATAAAATGCATCCTTATCTATAACTTTTAGCATCGTCATTAATTTAAAAAAAAAGTAAAAATTATTTAGCAAGAAAGATATCCTTTAATGAAGATTGAATTGGCAAAAAATACAATCCTAGCATATATACAGGGTGTTCGGAAATTAGCGCATCAGAATATCATAGCAAGATAGAGTGGACTAAACTGAGTCGAAAAGTCCTGTACCATTTTGTAATTTTCGCAATAGTTAACGAGATATTAGTTACTAAAATCGCCGAATATTGTTTCCAATAATTTTACTTAAGTACTATCAACTTTACAGAAAAACAATAAGTGACAATAATTGTTTATTTTCTTCTCAAAGAGTTCTAAGAATGTTTTCAGAATTTTTTAGTATCGCATTTCTTCATATTAGCAAAAATAGGGAAAATACGGTACTAAAAGGTTGATAAAAAATTCTCAGAACTCTATGAAAAGAAATTAAACAATTTTTGTCTTTTGCTATTTCTCTGTAAAGTTGATAGTACTTAAGTAAAAAATTATTGGAAACCCATATTCGACGATCTGAGTAATTAATATTTTGTCAACTATTGCGAAAGTTGCAAAATGATAGAGGACTTTTCGACTTAGTTTAGTCCGCTCTATTAGCACATGAAATATTTGGCGGTCATTCTGGGACACTCTGTATAATATAGAGACGCTTCTGAGCCAGAGCGTCACGTGGCAAAGCCGCTGATCCTAGAGCGGTAAAAGAGACAATAGACGTCGCCAGCAAGAATCAGCCCAAAATGTGCATCTAGTACCGAGTACTATTTTAACAGTTCGATCAAATAAATCTTGGCAAAATTTTTAATTTAATACTAATTATAAGTTGTGATAAAGTTTAACAAAGGATCTGTATTACTATTGGTGTGGTTTTTTTAATATTTTTTATTTTATAAAATACCTATTAAAATATATTCAATTGGATATTGTTTTGTTAATATTAAAAAATCTCATACGAGTAGTCGAACTAATCGTTACTATCTATACATATAATACATGTTTTGTTTGCGAAATTTTTATATTTTTGTATTCCTGTATGCAATAAATATTTGTTTTGTAAAATTGCGTTCACTTTTTTCTTAAGCAGTAAAAATCTATAATCAATATCCTCGAAGATACTTATCATAGTGATTTACAAAGATATTCTAGAATGATCTGAAGAAATAACACTTTATGTATTCGTAATCTTAGGTAAGCAAAGTAAATTTGGAAAAATCTCGGGTAATCTCAGAAAATATGTCGTAATTTTAATTGCTCTAAGGTAATCTTGGGTAATATGAGGTAGTATTAAGTAATCTTAAGTAATCCGAGGTAATTTAAAGATAATCTGTATCAAGGATAAGTTATGTACACTATAATCACTCCCCATACAGCATAGAATTTGCAGCAATGTCGCTGCAAAATCTCTGCAATATTGCTGCAACATGCAATGATGCTGCAATGTTACAGAAAAGTGTTGCTGAAACTTTTATGTAACCTTGTGCTGTAGGGTTGTGACCAACCCTCTGATTTTACAGCATGTTCCAAAAAGATTTATAATAAATTAATTTGTTATTGGCGAAGGGTTAAATATGTAAAATAGATGCCTGAAACGTCAAACTACAATTTCTATTTGTGTTTATTGTGTTCAATCGTTTATTTGTGTTCAAATCGACACAACTTTCCTCTGTATATTTTCCCCTTCTATATGTATATATATATATATTTTTTTACCTGAATGTCTTGAAACATTAACCTTTCTTGTGATTCAATACAAGATGACCCTATAATTACAGCAGTATTTTTTCCTTGCAATTGCTTTGGATTGATCCCTGCATCGATAATTGCTTCATAAGAATGTTCCAATAACATTCTCGTTTCAGGTATGAGTGTATGTGCTTGCTCAAAGGATAATCCAAAAAAATCCGAATCAAATTTGTCTATATTATTAATAGTTCCCATACGGCGCGAAAATTCCTCATACACTAAAGATAGATATATTTACATAAAGATTTTATAGTGTTTATTTATCATTTTATATAAAATTTTAATTCGAAGTGTACTTTGTTGACAAATAAATATGTAATGATGTTTAGCCTCACGTAGCACAGCAGTGCGTGGAAAGCGCTTTCGAAGCGCTCTTCAGATTGCACCTCCCAAAACTGCTATCAGTTATGTACTTTCATTGCATGTGAATAACTCTGCAGATTTCAAGTCACACTGATTAAAAAATGATTATGCGCGTGAAAAGCGCTCTAAAAGCGCTTGCACTTCAGAAGTGATTCAAAAGTGCTTTTTTAGCGCAGAAATATCGAGATTTCATAGATATTATCCCGGGAAAAAATTTTTTATATAAATAGACATATTTTATATATAAAAAATATTGTATATAATTATATGTAAAACAATATATATAATATGTATATTTTTTTTTTTTTTTATATACAATTAATAATATTTAAAATTACATTTTATATAATTATATACTCGTATACAATTATTTCCGGGCATTTCAAAAAATTTTATTTGATAATAAAATAACTAAAAAATAAATTTATTGAAAATTTTATAAATTACCTAAATTTATAAATATGAGTGTCTCGACTAATTTTGGCGGTAAGTAATATATAATAATTATAAAATATCATACACACACAACGCCTATAGAAAAATTTTGCTGAAATCATTTCACATTTTGGAATACCTGTAGCGTGCATATGTGTACACGCACACCATACGGAGGGTTTGGAATATTTTATGTGAAGCTAACAAACTACAGAGTCGTTATCCTTGTGATATGCAATGTATCACACGACACACGCGCACGCACGCACACAATGAGGTTCAATTCTGACCAATCTAATTCCATGCTGTTCATGTAGGAAAAATTAGAACCATAATTTCTCAGCTAATGACAACAGTATTTTAAATTGGAAATAACTTAGCGAAAAGTGATCACATCGAGCACAGTAAAGAACTATTTTAAAGATATCACTATTTTCTCCTGGCAGAATAGTGATCTTTGATTACCAATTTTACATCTTCTTACTTTATTATCTGCTAAATAACTTTATTATTCTTCCAAATTTTGTTATACTGAATAGAGTAGTATTATTTTAAGTAGTACTATTTTGTAGTATATCTTGTTAGTATTTTTGTAGTTTTTTGCTTTACATGTTATTATTTACATGTTTATAATTAAATCTCATAATAATAAACAATCATCTCATATGAATGTATAAATTATCATATTAGAAATGTATAAATGTGAATGTAAATTGTTATTTACATGTTGTAATGAAATCTCATAAAACAATTGCAGCCATTTTGTTATTTTAATAACAAAATAATATAAATAACGCTTGAAATTTGCAACAGCACAACAAAGTAACTTTCGGAGACACCAATAAACGAGCAACTTTAGGTATTAAAATTAAAATATTATTTCTACATTAGAAAACATATCAAATATAATTATTATACAAAAATACATTTCGACTCACAGAGTCTTCTTCAGTTTAATTCGATTAACCTATCCTTATACGTAAAATGTATATCGAACGAAATCAATATCATTATTCAAAGCAGTTGCAACCGAAGTAGTAACACTATGTCCGCAATGATTAATGTCAAGATATAAAAATCATAACTTAAATCCTCGTTTTGACAGCGAGAATCGTGTTAAGTCCCATCGTGTAAGTTGATGTCAGTTATTAAAATACTCTAAGTTAAAAAAATGCATAAATAAATTATTAAAATTAATTATGAAAAGTGTTCAAAGTTAAAAAACTCTAAATCAAGGAATGAAATAATAAATAATTCAGAAAGCTTTTTATAAATCTATTGTTGAAATGCTTTAAATCAAAGTAAAAGTTAATAAATTATTAAGAAAAGGATTTTTTTTTATTAAAAGAAGAAGCCATAAAGAAAGCCTACATATGGAATGATATTTTTTCTCATCACGTTAAGTGCTTTGATAAATGTTGTTTTAATTTATAATATATTTAGTACATAAAAAGAAATTTTGTTGGATGAAAAAAAAATCCTTTCAGAAAAAATTAACTAAGATCATGACGATTCAATTCAACTGTTGCATAGATGAAGAAAATTACCCCAAAATCATCAAAGTGGACAAACAGGAGCCTACAATTTCTGAAAACGAAACAATCTTTAATATAAATAAGATCCTATGAAATTCACAACTGAATCCACAAATCTTTTGGTAGTTACTAATAACAAATGGTTTATCAACCTTACTAACATAGATATTCCTCCGGACGTATCATCATTATTACAACTGGGTCAAAATTTTAGTCTTTCTACCACTCTAAATAAAAATACAGCCATTCATGAAATGATTAAAGACATTGAATGTATAAAAAGCAGAAATTTATCTAGATTTTTACCCAAAGTAAGAAACACTGCTATTCCTCAATTTCACAAATTTCTACATAATAAAAATCAGAAAAATATAGTTGAAGATACATAGATTAATACAGATTAATATAAAGCTGCCAAATCATTTTAAAAAAATAACCCAAATATCATATTTACCCGCGCAAATAAAGGGAATGTCACTGTTGCCTTAAAAAAAAATGTTTACATGCAAAAAGTGGAGGATTTATTAATGGCTAAAGATACATACTCCATAGTTAAGAAAAATCCGGAAAAAACTCTAGAAAGAAGTGTTAACGATCCAATAAAAAAATAGGAAAAAAAGAACTACATTTCTAAAAAAGAATTTTTCCACCTTCGCTCCACCGTGACGCTTTCTTTCCGAAAACTTATGCACTTCCAAAAATCCACAAGATCAATGTTTCGTTTAGAAATATAGTCTCCTCTGTCACAACACGGCTTTATACTCATTATCAAAATTTCTGAAGGAAATCATTTCTGTCAGTATCCCTAAAGCGAGGCTCGCCACAATTTCATCACCCCGCGCGCAGTCCAAATGCCGCTCGACGTTTAGGATCGTATGACGCTCGTAGACATGAGATCCACCCGCTTTGAGCGCTCACGCTGAAACTTCATTCTATTATTTTTTTGTTCATTACACAACTAAGAAAGAATGATGCAACGCGTAAGATTGAACGTTTACGCGTTGCTTCATTCTATCTTAGTTATGTAATGACCGAAAAAGAAGATATAGATTAAATAGTTACTATATAATAAACTTTCTAGAATGGACGTGGGTGTGTCTGATTTGTTCGTCTCATTAGATGTAACATCTGTATTTACGAATGTTCCAATGGACCTGGCGATTGTCGGTATAGAGAGGAGATGGGAACACATTAAAAAATCTACAAAAATTCCAAAAAAAAGTTTATTAAGGCCATAGAATTCGTATTATCATCTACATACTTTACTTTTAACAACGTAATATACAAACAGATATATGGCACTCCAATGAGTTCCCCTCTCTCGCCGATTGTCGCAGACATTGTCATGCAGGATTTAGAAGAAAGCATTTTGAGCACATTAGAGCTACCTGTCTATTTTAGATATGTAGACGACGTTTTAATAATTTCTCCTAAGGATGAACTGGATGACGTTTTGCAAAAATTTAACAGCTACCATCGGCGCCTAAGATTCACTATAGAGAAGGAGGAGAACCATTGTCTCAACTTCTTAGACATCCAATTAATAAGAAAAGATAACGAGATTATAATAAATTAGTTCCATAAAGAGACATTCTCTGGACGTTATTTGTCATATTGGTCGAATCATCCTAAATGCCATAAATTAGGAATAATATACAGCATCATCGATCATTCTATTATCTCATCTGTCTTTCTATGAGAAAAACATCGAACATTGCATAAATTTGTTGTTGGACAATGGTTACCCTCTGGATCTTATTTTCAAGACTATAAATAAAAAATCAAAAAATTTATTTGTGAATAATTGTAATAAAAAAGTCAATGCCGATGTTTCTCCGAATATAAAAAAAAATCTCATGGTAGAGTTCCATTTGTAAAAGGCATCACTGAATCAATAACATTCATTTTCAATAATTTAACAACTACGTTTGGTTATAGAACAATTAACAATCTCAGTAAATATATTCAAGTCCATAATAAAGGCCTCACACAAAGTCCCTTCTGACCTCATCCCGTTAATAGAGCACTGCTTAACAACCACCTACTTCTCCTACAACAACCAATTTTATGAACAAACTTCAGGAGCGGCAATGGGCTCTCCTATCTCTCCTGTAATCGCCAACATCTTCATGGAGCACTTCGAGAAAGAGGCCCTCGGAAAAACACCAAAAAAGCCAGAAGTTTGGTTCCGCTATGTAGACGACACATTCGTGATATGGAGACACGGCAGAGCAGAACTCCGTAAATTCCTTATTTTCCTCAACAAACAACATCCAAATATCCACTTCACCATGGATATAGAGGAAAACGGGAAACTCCCCTTCCTAGATGTTCTTGTCTCCAAAAAAGCTGACGGTACCTTAGGCCATCAAGTGTACAGAAAACCAACACACACAGACAGGTACCTACATGCTGAATCGCACCACCACCCGGCACAAAAACAGTCAGCAATCAACTCACTAGTGCATAGAGCCTTCACTATCTCTGACAAAGAACATCTACAGACAGAACTCAACCACCTGAAACTAACCTTACAAAAAAACGGACACGACAAAAAAGACATAACCAAAGTAATCAATAAACATGCAAACAAGACAACGGTCCCTGACACACAACCAGACGAAAGGATACTAGCCTTCCTTCCATTTGTCAAAGGAACAACAGACCGAATCGGCAGGATATTGAACAAACACAACATCCGAACTATCTTCAAACCACCCAAAAAGATAGGACAAATCTTAAAAAATCCCAAAGATCAAAGACCTCCACTCAGCTCCGCAGGAGTATACAAAATACCTTGCTCCTGCGGGCAAGTATACATCGGAGAAACTGGGAGAATGGTCCACCTACGGATAAAAGAACACCAACGCGATGTCAGGCTAAAA